CGTTCCTCTTCTCTCCTCCTCTCCTCCTCTCTCTGTCGTTCCTCTTCCCTCCTTCTTTCCTCTTCTCTTCTCCTTGCTTCCTCTCTTTCCCTTTCCTCTTGATCTCTGATTGGTTTATGAAAGCAGTATTCACACTTATACATCATATCATGACCGACCTGTCTGTAGTATTCACCTCCATTGTACACATACACGATCAGGCCGTGAACAGTACTTTGGTAGAGATTGTCAAAGCTTGTGCATGGATTCAGGACTTTATTACAAACGCAGCATCTGAGTCTGTCGCCCATGTGACATTCTGATGGTACGTTACCCATTTTTGTTGGGTTTTGTAGGGGTTAAGTGAAGATTTTCAAGAGCCGCCGGTGTTTCCCTAAAACAAAAAAAAAAGAACAATCATTATTTTAAATCAAATAACTGGAGGTTTTTCAGTGTCCAATTGCTTTAATGCATGCATGGATTGAACACTCAAATGAATGCTTGGTGTTAAGTTCAGATTTATTCATTTTAGGGGATAATGTCCTGCTCCATGCTCAGTAATTCAGGTAGAAAAAACTAACAAGGTTAAATCAGGTCCTCTGAACAAATTCTTCTTTGTTGAAACTTTTCATCTTTTATCCAAAAGACTACTTCTGAACTGATGAAGTCCTTCTGATGAAGGACGAAACGTCTCAACAAAAATATGAAGTTCTTTTGGATGGAGGACAAAATATCTCAACGACAACAAAAAAGAAACCGTCCAGAGGAACAGACTTCACTTTGTTGGATTTATTTACCTGGATAGTTGAGCATGAACTTTGATGTTTTGAACCACTTTGGCTATGGCTGCTTCAGAGGAGTCAACGGGGGAGAGGGCAGGCCCCAGAAACCATCTTATCACCAGCAAACTGGTTGGTCCATTATGTGAGTGTGCTGCTTGTGGGACTTTGTTTGTTGTGGCTCCTCAGAATGATGAAGTCCTTTGGATGAAGGACAAAATGTCTCAACACCAACAAAAAAAAAAAACCCACCCAGATGACCAGACTTAACTTTGTTGGATCTTCACATACAGTTTGTAAAAACGAGAACAAAAAACTTGTTGGTTTCAAACTAACAATCTTCATAAAATATAAAATTTTCAAATAGGTTTAGTGGGCGTCACGGTGGCGCAGTTGGTAGAGCGGCCACCTCTCAGCAAGAAGGTAGCTGGATCAAATCCTGGCCAGGGGCCTTTCTTGGTGAAATTTGTACCTTCTCTCTCTTCATGCGTGGGTTTTTTCTAGATACTCCAGTTTCCTTTACTTGTATTGGAACATATCTAATTAATACAGTGTCTTGTGAAAGTATCCATCCCTATGGCATTTCTCGCATTTTGCCTGTTCTTGTTGGAACATGGACATCTGTCCCAACTTCAAATCACTGACAGACCAAAACAGGTTCTGCTCAAGAATATCCCTTTATTTAGCACCATCCACCATCCATTTTCCCTGTCCCTGCTGCTGAAAAAACATCCCTGTAGCATGATCTTGCCATTAACATGTTTCACTGGGGGATGCTGTTCTTGGGGTGATGAGAGGTTTTGGTTTTGCAACGGACATAGCGTTTTCTTTGGTGGCCAAAATGTTCAGTTTTGGTCTCCTCTGACCAGAGCACCTCCTTACATTTGGGGAGTCTCCTGCATGACTTTTTGCAAACTCAGAATGAGCCTTCCTATTTTTATCTATAAGTAAAGGCTTTTTTTGTGGCCACTCTTCCCTAAAACCCATCTCTATGGAGTGTACAGCTTATTGTGGTCGACTGGATAGATACATACTCTTGTTTGTACTTGGGGACTCTGCAGGAGCAGCCCTCTCTTATGTTCTTTTCATCTGGTGATAATGGATTTGATGGTGCTCTGAGGATCATCAGAGATTTGGATATTTTCTTTTTATAAGCCAACCCTGACTTGTACCTCTCAAAAACGTTGTTCCTGACTTGTTTGGGAATTTCCTTGGTCTTCATGGTGGTGATTAGTTGGTGGTGCCTCTTGCTTAATGGTGTTGCAGTCTCTGCGGTGTTTCAGAAAAGATGTGCATGTACTGACTGATCATATGACACTTTGTTTGCACACAGGTGGACTTAATTCCAATAATCATATGACTGCTGAAAGTAAATAGTTGCTCCAAAACTTTTTAGGAACTTCATAGCAAAGGGGGTGAATGTATATGCACATGCCATTTTTCAGTATTTTATTTCCATAAAGTTTTTTTTAGATTTTTATTCTCATATTACTTAACCAACTATTTTGTGCAGTTGCATCCCATACAATTCAGATAAAAAAAACATTTAAGTACAGGTTGTAATGTAACAAAATATGTAAAAAGCCATCGGGGTGAATCTAAAAAAGTTAAATCTGGTCCTCTGGACATTCAAAAAAAACAAAGTAAAACAACAAAAAGTGTAGAAACGTTTCGTCTCTCATCCGAAAGACTTCCTCAGTCTGAGGAGCTGTATTCAGCTCAGTCTTATAAACAGCACCTTCTCAGAGTGGATCAACCAGTTTTGTTGCTGACAACCAAAACCAGCTGCTCACATGATCAAGAAGGACCATCGGCCTAACAATGGATCATGTTTTTTTTTTTTTTTTTTGAATGTCCAGAGGACCATATTTAACTTTTTTAGATTTTTCTACCTGGATTATTGGGCATGCATCAGGATATCGGGGTGAATATTTTCACAAGGCATTGTATATTTGGATAACATTTATGAAATGTGTGGGTTTTTTTTTTCATTCATATGCAGTATAAGTAAAAATAGATGTAATTAGAAAGTATTCCCTCAGTTCTGTAAATTGTACTCATAGATTTGATGGATTAGCAATAATATTTGCGTCTGTCTCCAGCTGGGGCTGTATTGAGCTTTGGATTGGAGATTTACATGTGCAAAATATGGGGAAGTCAAAGTCAATGCAAATCCTGCTGTGAAACCACAGTTTGGGAATCATCTACAAAAGTGGTATTTAATTAAAAAATGTTTGTTTGACACATCAAAGTTCATGCTCAATAATCCAGGTAAAAATCCATCAATCCATTTATTAGCTACTGCAAGTTCTGAAGTCGGGTCACGGGAGCAGCAGATTGAGCAAGGAGGCCCAGACATCTCTTTCTACAGCCACCTCTTCTAGCACTTCTGGGAGGATTCCAAGGCGTTCCCAGGCCAACCAAGGGACATAGTCTCTCCAGCGTGTCCTGGGTCTTCTTCGGGGTTTCTTCCCAGTCGGACATTCCCGAAGCACCTCCCTAGGGAGGCGTTCAGGGTGCATCCTTACCAGATGCCCGAACTAGCTCAACTGGCTCTTCTAGATGTTGAGGAGTAGCGGTTCTACTCTGAGACTCTCCTGGATAACTGAACTTCTCACACTTACTCTAAGGGAGAGTCCAGCTACCCTGTGAAGAAAACTCATTTCAACTTCCTGTATCCACGATCTCATTCTTTTGGTCACTATTCAGAATTCATGACCATAGGTGAGGGTAGGAATGCAGATGACTGGTAAAAAAGAGCTTCGCCATACAGCTCAGCTCCCTCTTCACCACAACGGACCGGTACAGAGTTCACAATACTGCAGCTGCTGCACCAATCCGTCTGTCAATCTCATGCGCCATTCTTCCCTCACTCGTGAAGAAAACTCCAAGATACTTAAACTCCTCCACTCGATGCAGAACCTCACCCTTGACCTGCAGAGGGCAATCCAACCTTTTCCAGTTGAGGACCATGACCTCAGATTGGGGCCTCAGTCTGAGGCAGGCATGGCCAAAGTGGTTCAAAACCTCAACCACTTTGGCCATGGCTGCCTCAGATGAGTCAACGGAGGATAGGGCAGTCTCCAGAAACCATCTTATCACCATCAAACTGGTTGATCCACTATGTGAGCGTTCTACTTTTGGAACTGAGTTTGTTGTGGCTTCTCGGACTGGTGAAGTCTTTTGGATGAAAGATGAAAGCGAGACTGGAGGGTGTGCTTCAAATACAGGGACATCACTCTCCTTAGCCTCCTTGGTAATGTCTATATAAGTTTGCTGTGGAAGAGAGTTCAATTGATTGTGAAACCTCAGATTCAAGAGGAACAATGCAGGTGTTGTTCTGGCGGTGGAACGCTGGACCTATACCCTCTACTCTCACAAGGCTTCTTGAGGGGGCATGGGAGTTTGGCCAACCAGTCTACATGCGCTTTGTGAACTTGAAGAAGACCTTTTTTGTGTTACTCGAGTTGCACTGTGGGGGATGCTTAATGAGTGGTATTGGTATGCTCATTCACAAAAGGGTGGAAGGGTGGTGCTCTTTCCAGGTTGGGAGTGAGGTTCTGCGTCAAGTTGAGGACTTTAAGTATCTTGGGGTTTTTCTCCACGAGTGAGGGAAGAATGGAGCGTGAAATCAATAAACATAATGGTGCAGCTTCTGCATTACTGTGGACTCTGTGCCTGTTCGTTGTGGTGAAGAGGGCACTAAGCTGCAAGGCAAAGCTTTCTGTTTACAGCATCGACATCACAACCAATATATATGAAGGGGACATGTCCCCCCCACATTCAAAAAATGTTCATTTGGACCCCCCCCCCCCACACACACACACACACACACACACACTTTTACTTTGAACCATTAGTTCTGTTGGCGCAGTTTCTTTCTTCGTGAACAAATCCATTCCAGTTGATTAATAGGAGAATACTCAAACCACTAAAACTCCACTCCAGGTTTTCCTGGTTACCTCCAATTCTAAACACAGCAGCATTGCTGCCACAGTGTTTTTGCTCGGAGTCTCATAAACGCACACAGGTGGAGGAGATGGAGACACCTGTGTTGCTCGTTAGCCAGTTTAACAAGATTAGTACGGGCAGTTGTTGAGCAGGGGGGGGTTGATCATAAACATATATCCATGTTAAGAGGATGCTTGAGAGAAGAGGAGCACTACATCTGTAGCATCTTAGCTTAGCAGTAAATGTGATGCTGTAAGATGCTGCAGGTGTAACAGACGCTTTGTGTTCAGGTGCATTAAAGTTGAAATGTCTTTAAAACCCCACACCTTATTGTCCTCGAGCTTCATGAAAAACATAATTTAGATGAGGAGTGTTGAACACAAGTAAAAATGTCTAGTGGTGATGTTTTGTATTTCTCTATAACAAAAATAGTGCAGACTTGACGCTCTGTATTAAAGTGTATTAAAGTTAAAATGTCTTTAAAACCCACAGCTGAATTTACACAAACCTGATAAGAAACGTGCTTTAAATGTGTGGAATTAAAGGAAATCTAGGTGAAATGCTGCTTTTTTGTAGGACTAGTGTACACTTTTTTTACGCGCGCACACACCCACACACACCTACACACATCATTGTGTCCCCCCCACATTACGGATGCTTCTGACGCCCTTGGTTTACAGTCAGTCTACATTTCTACCCTCACCTATGGTTACGAACTGGGTAATGACTGAAAGTACCAGATCATGGATACAGGCGGTTGAAATGAGTTTTCTTCACAGGGAAGCTGGACTTTCACTTAGAGATAGCTGAGAAGTTCAGTTATCCAGGAGAGACTCGTGGTAGAGCCAGTGCTCCTTCACATTGACAGAAGCCAGATAAGATTGTTTGGACATCTGTTTTGGATGCCCTCTAGACACCACCTTATGGAGGTTTTCTGGGCATGTCCAATTGGGAGGAGACCCAGAGGAAGACCCAGGACATGCTGGATAGATTGTGTCTCAGCTGGCCTGGGCACTCTTTAGAATCCTTCCAGAAAATCTGGAAGATGTAAATGTGGAAAGAGACAATTGGGTCTCACTGTTCAAGCTGCTGCCCCATGACCCGGCTCCAGAACAAGTGGAAAATAATGGATGGATGGAAGGATGGACGACAGACTTTTGGTGACTAGTTGTTTCAGTTTTTTTCCACCTTGTTTCATCTCATACTCAGCTGATAACAAAATTAGCTGCTTGTTTCAAATATGACTTGTCTTCCCATCTGCTTTTTATTTGCAGTAAATTTTGAGAATTACCAACATTTACTTTAGAAGCCATGGATCTTTAAAGTGATCATCTGTCCAACTTTCTTTATGCTCTAATGCTTGTTCTTGTTAATGAGCATTAGAGCATAAAGAATGAAGTCTGTAAGAAAATCCTTCTGTACAGTTTACCTAACCATAAACACATTCTTTGGACAAGGACCGCAAATCCATACAGAACTAATTGAAACAGATTTCCCAGCCCATGCACATCTTTTATGGCATGCAGTCATAATTCTTTGGCAGACTGATGCCTATCTTAGCAGTCAGTGGGTGAGAGGTGAAGGACACTGTGGAGAGTCTATCTAACACAGGACCACACAAAACACCTAACCAGGTAACCTCTCACACCTGAGGTAAAAAAAAAAAAAAAAAATCAATTTAATCTAACATGTTTGTTTTTGGACACATATGCAAAGAGTTAACAGGTGATTCAAGGTTGCCCTTAAATGTGTGTGTGGGGATGGTGGGGGCATGTTGCCCCTGTGACAAACTGTCCAGGATGACTCCAGCATGACTACTACTGCCCACCATGAACATAAATATATTTAACAGGTACAGATAATGAACATAATATTTTAACACTTTAAAAAATGCAAATATGGTAATTATTAAAAATGGTCTAAAATAATAAACTAATTGTTACAGCATAAAACACAAGAGTTCATGTTGGTTCCAGTGCATAAATACCTGATGTTAGAATCCCATGCTCTTGGCAAAAAACTGAGCTTTCTTCAGTGAGATGCACTGATGGTATTAAGTCTCCTGCAACAGCAAAAAGTTTGAATGAAATACATTTAATTAATACATTTTAATTTGTAATTAAAGAACTAAACCTCAAACACAGACTGACTGAATCTAGATTTTATTATCAGACCATTGATAATTTCCCTTTTTTCCAATTCTTACGGTTTTATCATCTGAGTATTCAACTGAGGAGAGTTTTAGTGCACAGATATGTTTTAGTCATTTAAGGTAAGACTAAACATAAAAATGGGCTTTCTAGGGTGCACACAGTTTTGAAATCATTCTTTTTTGTTGACTTAAAAATGTGTTATAAGAGTATATTTCAAAGACCCGAGGCTGTATAAGAAAAGTTAAAGGAAACAGATTTATCAGAAGAGCAAAACAATAAGATTTTTTTTGGATTGCATTCCTGAAAACTTCCATTTTCACCCAGCTATTTAAGAAAATGGGTATAAAAAAAAGTTCATGAATCACTAATGTCATAAAGACAAAATGGTAATAATTTTAAACTACTGTACTTGCTTTCAATTTTTCCTGTAGCTTTAAAAAAAACAACAACAAATAAAACATGTACATTACCTTCATTTGGAAGTTTGAATGGAGAAAAAAAATTGTCTCTGTGTGTCTATGGTATGTGATACGAGGTGAAACGGGACTTTTTATACAAAACCTGGAGAGGAGTGTAGGTGCAGAGTCAAAAAAAAAAGACTGATTCATGTTTAATGTTCAACTTTGAGTCATAAAAAGTTGTGATAAAAGTTCCTCAGAATCATTAATTTTATTGAAAACCTAAAGTGACTTTATTAATCAGTGAGTTATAGATTTACATCCGGTGACTACTTTGATTAATTAATAAATGTTCAATGGTTCATGGAATCAAGTATTTGATTCCAGGTATAAAGATTAAACATTATGAACTGAAACACACCTGAGGTCATAAGGTCTTGAAAATATTGACATTTCCTTGGTTTTCAGCTGAAGCTATGATAAGAGAAAGTATAGTTTTACTTTATCTTATCGCTACCTTTGAAACCAAAGAGTAGCTAATTTAATTATTAATCTGAATACTGTACTTTTTTCTCATCACTGAGTCCACAGACACGCTTTGTTTCAGAAATATGTTAATAATTCTGTAACCTGTGAGGTTTTTTCTGTCCTACAATCTGAATTATTGTCACCAAGCTGCAGTATTTAAGTCTGTATTGCTTAGATAAAACCTTTTAAATGTTACTGTGATGAAAATATGTACTGATCTACTTCCTGGGCGGCACAGTGGCACATTAAAGTCAAGTACAATTTATCTTTGATTGACTGAATTATAGCTGTTTAGTGTTTTCAAAGGTCAGTTGGTAGAGCTGCCCCCTCTCAGCGTGAAGGTCGATGGATCGAATCCCGGCCGGAGTCCTTTCTGGGTGGAGTTTGCATGTTCTCTTTGTGCATGTGTGGGTTCTCTCCGGGTACTCAGCTCAGCTCCTCTTATGCACCTCCAGGCAGGCAGCCAATCACCGTTCCATTCATCGGTGTCTTCCTCCAGCCGCACACCTGGACACGAATTGGCACAATTAGGGTTTTGCACAGTCACACACATGCAACTTATGACAGCAGTCGTAACAAGGCAAAGGGATTCCCAACCAAGTATTGAAGATTGACATCCATCCATCCATTATCTTTACCCGCTTATTCCATTTTGGGTCACGGGGGTCACTGGTGCCCATGTCCAGCAATCACTGTGTGAGGGGCGGGGTACACCCTGGACGGGTCGCAAGTCCATCACAGGGCCACATAGAGACAAACGAGACAAACAACCATTCACTCTCTCACTCACACCTAGGGACAATTTAGAGTTACCAATCAGCCTAACATGCATGTTTTTGGACTGTGGGAGGAAACCGGAGCACCCGGAGAAAACCCACGCATGCACGGAGAGAACATGCAAACTCCACCCAGAAAGGCCCCTGGACCGGCGTTTGAACCAGGGACCTGCTCGCTGAGAGGCAGCAGCTCTACCAGTTGTGCCACCGTGCTGCCCTGAAGATTGACATATTGTTTTGAAAGTACCATATTTTTATTGATTTGCTGTGATCCTAATTTTTATTTTATTTTTTATTTTTTCCACATAAAACTGAGTAGTGTGGGCTGATGTCTTCACAGTATTCTAATTTTTTGAATTCCTGTTTTCGTGGATTTCATGAGCTTGAAGCCCAAATTAATTAATTAATTAGTTAAAATATAAACAAATAAATACTTGAAATTGTTTAAATTGTGGGCCCTGAATCTATCATCTATTAAAGATTAACTTTTTGTTGGAATTATGGAAGTTAAACAACTTTTCCATGATATTTAAATTTTTTGGAAAGGGTCTTTATATTGGCATTAAGGTGTTTATTTCATAAAAATTAGTGAACTTGGTTGAAAATATTTAGAAATAAGGCAAAAATAGTTTTGAAAACTAGCATTATGTTGTAAATTACTAGAGACCTTTTATACTTATCAAAATACTAATATCAGTGATATAGCCACATACTACACATACACTAGAATTACTGGGAGTATTGTCAGGTCTTAGAAATGTGCCAAATCATCTTAGCTGGACTTATTGCTTGTTTTGCTATAACCTTACCTTTCTTTTTTTTTAAGTCATACTGTGGCAAAATTTTCAAATGTTTTCTGTTTCTTGTTTCTCTTAAAATACTGTCTCTGGTTTTCCTATGAAACAGCAATTTACATGATGGATGATTTAAAGCCATTGTCTTGCCAATGTTTAATTTTCTGCCTTACTTTACCTGTTGTTTCCTTACATTACCAAAACCTCTGTTTAGTTGACAGATTTTAAATATCCGTGCACACTAAATGAAAGTATTGAGACTTTAGAAAGTGTCCGCTCAGC